AAGAGGTGTCAATCGAGCCTAGGTTGATGAAAGTGACTAAGAATGCAAGAGCAAAGCAAATCTAAGCAGATTCGGTTAATTGGATGAGAAATTATATGAAAACTAAATGCAACGACCAATGAGCAAGAAAACTATTTTAAAATCCCCTCTTAAGGGTTAACAACTACTAGACGACTCCTAAGAATTTAAAACGGAAGACTACTAATTTAATAAAATCGAACTCTAAAGGCTGATAAACAGAGAATTTCTAGCAACATAGAGCAATGACTTTTAAAGATTAAAGATGCAAACTTTATGACAAGGAAATGATAAACTTGAGTTTTAAAATGCTAAAAAGAGGATTCAAGGTTGAGGGTCATGTTTAAGAGGGTTCAAGATTCAAGCTTTGGGTTTGAATACATAGATCTACTCATTTGATGAGCTACCTCTAAGCCTTGAGAAGCTAAAAGAGATCTATCCATGGCGTGTGGTATAGATCCTTTCCTTAACCCTTCCTCCTAACCTATGGCATGTAGTGGAAATAAGGATCAAAGAACATTAAGCAAAGATCTCAAATATTGGCTTAACTAGCTCTCTAAGCATCCATGGCGTTTGGGAAAGGATGAGCTAGTCTCTTGGATTTGGCTTTAAGGGATTTCTGAATCCGGTTAAGGTAAGAAAAGCCCTGGGATCATAGAGATCTTTCCCAAGACTCTCTAAGCATTTAGACCCCAATTCCAAGAAGAGAATAAAATAAGAACAAGAAAAAGACCAAAGCTTAAACCCTTAAACTCCTTAAATCGCCCCAACCTTAAACCCAAGGAAATCTACTCACTACACATTGCTAAAACACACGAAAATGCAAAGCAAAGAAAGCTAAACATGATTAAGCAAGAGCGATTAAGAAAAGTACATAGATTAAGCAAGATTAAAATGTTTACAATACTAGAAAAGCTTAAAAACTTCAACAATGGCTAATCGCCTAAAGAGAAACTCGAAAGCTTGGAGACAAAGTGTTGATAATGAAAGTGATGGGATTTTTCGCCCAAAATAGCCAAACAAAGAAAATAGTCCCCCCACTAAAGTCCAAAAGTGAGCTGGCCGGATAAAGTTTTGAGATCGAGCTGAGTAGTCGATCTGATCACTCGATCTCCCGGCTAGAACCTCTTCTTTTGCTCGATCGTTAGATTGATTCGTCGGATGGATCGAGTGCTTCTATCGATCTTCTGGTCGATACTCGGATGATCGAGTCATGAACTCGATCTGGTTCTCATTCTGCATGGCTTAGTCAACGTCGGTACTCACGATCGATCCCCTTGGTCGATCTTGACCTCGATCCCTTCCTTGAAACGACCCAGGCTTAGTCGATCTTCTGGTCGATCTCATCTAGATCGACCTGCCTAGCTCGATCCTTCTCTCGATCTCGGTCCCTTCACTAAATGGTTGAGTTCTCCCAAGTGTCCACAAGCTCCCTCTCGATCCTTAGCATGTCCACGCAACCTCCACAGCTCCTGTGTGTCCAAAACAACCTGAATATAATGCAAGAATGCAAGAAATATGCACATGCTAATGCAAGATGCACTTAGGACCTAAAACGAGACAAATGGTGCAAACCTTCCTAAAATGTAAGATGAATGCATGAAAAAGTACTCTAAATGCATGCTGAATTTGCGAAATATATGAGTATATCATCTATCCTCACTTGACTCGTTCCAGCCTTCTTGTATCCCTTCCCTTGAACTTGTTGTGATGCGGTCTTGGGGTGTATGAAGTTCCTCCAACGTGAACGTTCCTGTAAGGTTAGTGGTTGGTAAAGTACATTTGGAAGGGTTAATGATCTGACCTTGGCGAGGCGAATGGATGGCAAGGCAGTTAAACCCATCTATGATCTCGTCTTGCATGGTACGATCAGTATGAACCGTGGTACAACCCTCCGTACCGTCATTACGACCCGTGGTACTGTCATTACGACCCGTGGTACCATCGTTGCATATGTCCTGTCCTGTTCCAACTGAGAAAAGTTCCTCAGGTCCGAATGTTTGTATGAGTCTCATAAGGAGTCACTACCTGCAGAGGAACATCAAAGAGAAGCACATCTATCAGCTCACCAAGCCATCCAAAGAGCAAGCAAAGTTTCTCCTTCCAAATGAGCAGCATATATCCATCACCATGAGGAGAAATATAGACTTTTGTCCAGATGAGACAGTGATGTATCATGGTAGCTCTGTCACTGAAGAAAGAGAAGAGGCTGATGAAGAAGTTAATGTAGAAGAAGGTGAAGAGAGCAGTGAGAAGGAAGTGCAAGAAAAAGCTGTTGTTGGTGCTGAAAATCAAGAGGATTCCCAAGAGGAAGAGCAAGATGAAGATGAGTTGCTGGAATACAACAGCATGGGGTTTCACTTCAAACCTCTTGAGGTTACAAGCCAAGGAAGCTCTCTGAAGCATGCCCATGATCACATCAACAAACTACAAAGGTGGTGTAAATGGCAGGATAAGACCATAAAGAAGCTGGTGAATCTGGTCAAAGGGATCAGTGGGCAGCTTGGGAACCTTGAAGAGCTTCATCCTATGGGAGGCGCCAGTTTGCAATCCTTCTGAGGTTTATACAACATGGCAAGAGTGGGATGCTCAAGGCAACTCAACTCAAGTATAAGCTCATTGGCCAAGTTGGGTTCCTCCACCACAAAAACCAGCAACTTCTTCACAAGGCAAGAAGAGGAGAAACAAGAGGAGGGCGAGTCAGTCTCCACAACCAGTAACATCAGGATCCTTTATTCATCCAGGATATACTGAAGAACTCTCTAACTCATCCCACCACTCCTCTTACCATAACTAAGGTACCACATCCTTACCATTGTATATACCATTGCATTTTTTATTAGATTTTTGTAATATATTTTGTTGCTTCTCTCTCTCACTCCTTTTATTACACAAGAGACTGTGTAATTTAAGTGTGGGGGGAGAGATTTGGGGTTTGACTTTGTTTGTTCTTTTCTTATTTATTTTTTTCATTTTCTTTCATCTTTGAGTCACATGCATATCATGCATTCATCTAAAGCATATAAAATCACAAAAAACCGAAAATTTTGAATTTTTTTTTGCATGTTTCTGCAAACCAAAAAGAGAGCATGTAGTTGCATTTCATTTTCTTAGGATTGAGTCTAGTTTTTGCATATAGGCTGCATTTCATTTGCATATGGCATGATGATGAATTCTCCTTGTAAAATGCTAAGTGTTTAGGTTTGATTTAAGTGTCTTAGTGGTTAATTGTTTGATGCATCATAAGAATGTTAGAAGTTAAGGCTAAACCATGCTTGAATTGCTAAATTTGATGCTCTTATCTCATACTGAAACCATTTGTCATTGAATATCAACTCTATCTATTTGAACCTTAATCTGGATTTTTAATTATCATGTTTGTGCATTGAAAAGTGATTTCATGGCTATCATATACATATTTGGATCATCTTTTTCCTTCTTACCACTCTTGTTCATCCAAATAGCTCACTACAAAAAAAAAGGGTAGATTGTATCATTTATTTTGTATTATTGCATTACTTATAACTGATGTAAATACAATTTGCATCACTTAGAAAAATGACTTTAAAAGTGATGATGCCAATAATTAACATCATTTAATTATCAACAGATGCAAATATTTTTTTTTGCATCAGTTATTTTAATCGATGACAATTTGTGTCACTTTGGAAAAACTGATACTATCTTTTATATCAACTAGGAGAGTACCCGCGCATACGCACAGGTTTTTAGTTTTATAAAAAATTGATGTTAATTAAATAATTGATTTATAATTCTAATTTATACAGCTGGATTAAACATTGTATAAATAAATATATTAGGACTTTGATATCTTAATAATTTAAAAATATTAATGAATCAAGTTTTAATACAATAAATTATCAAATAATTATTAGTTTAAAAATAAATTTCTTAAAAATTTATGATAATATTGTATAAACTTTTCTTCTAACTTTTTAAAGTTTAAAATATCAAATAATTGTTATTTTTATATTTGTATAATTATTTTTTATAGTAATAATTTATGATATTAAAAAGAAATAAGAAACATAAATTGTTTTAATGATTTTAAAAACTACCAATAAATATATATTCAATAATTTTTATTTGGATATTAATTATATAAAGTTGTTAAAAATATTAACTAATACTTCATATTCTTCATACACTTCATATTCTTTTAGTATTATGATTAATAATACATTAATTTATGCATTAACTATATTTTATATAATTTGTATCATTATATTTTAAAAAATGACACATGTCATCTTCACATTAAAGCAAAATGATGAAGTGGCACTCAACTGGAGAGAGTTGGCCATCTTTGATAGTATAGATTTCTACAAATGATGTTTGTATTTGTAACGATTTTAATAATTGATGTTAAAATTAGTGTCAATTATCATAAGTCATTTTAATACTCGTATCATTTGTCATAACTGATTTAATAATTGTATCATTTATAAGAACCGATTGAAATAGTAGTATCATATTATAAGAACTGACTGAAATAGTTATGTTATTTATAATAAACTATTTAAATAGTTGTCTCATTTATAATAAATGATTTAATATTTAGATCATTTAGGACTTTTGATTTAAAATTTTACAATCAATTCTACGTAATTGATGTCAATTTTGGATCAATTTTATAATTGAATCTAATAATTGTATCAATTTTGAAAACCGACAAAAAATAGTTTTATTAATATATTTAAAAATAATGATTTTGCATTTCAATTGATTTTCTTAAAAAATCAATATAAACAAAATATTTAACTAAAATCTTAAAAAACAGATTGAAATAATTAATATAATGGAAAGCAAATTAAAACACAGAATTAAGTTTAACCATCTTCATTTGAAGTTCTGGAAATGCATACAATATAAATAAACCAAAAGTGCTAAGAGGTGCTAAGAAGTTCTGCTAAACTAATGTGGATCATGACTAGCACGGTTTTAACTCATAACTGTTTGGATCAGTCGGCACTCTCACTCTCATCCATTCCCTGAGAAAAAAAATTCATGTAACATATTAGATTATCATTTAAAGATTTGGCGGCAACACAATTTATATGTAACTATCATTTACCAGAAGATTAGGCACAGCTGGTATGTTTGCAAATCCTGGATTTTGTATGTTCGCAAAAGCTGCAGCAAAACTTGAAGCCCATGCAGTTGCCTGAATATATAGTTTAGTATATTAGTTTTATATATTCAAATTATAATAACAAAAGTTAACTTATAGATTACTATTATATTACCTGTTCACCGGTTGAAGTACCAAGTATTTGTTGGATAAACGTATTCATTGCTTTTACTTGATCTCTTAAGTCTTTAACTTCTGCCTTCAGTTCAACAACCATTTCAAAATTTTCTATCTCTGCTACAGGTACAACCGAGCGTCTCAGTAATTTTGAAGGATTGGGTCCACGACCAATACAACGTACACGTCCTGGATGCTCTGGACCAAACACCTGAGCATACTCATCATCCAAACTAGTTGGAACATTGCTTGTGACTTGTGGATTTTTACTCAACAACTCTCTAAGTGCTTCCTAGAAAAATAAACAATCAAAAGATAAATATGGATCATAATTAACTAGAGCATAGTTAACTAGTAAATCCACCAGTTTACAAGAACACATCTCAAAACTTGTTTTGTTTGAAGTTTACTACCCAATAAAACTAACCGCATGTGTTTGCGCCTCCTCACATACAAAGCTACCATCAGGTTTCCTGCGAGTCTCAATGAAAAACTCTGCTCGAGATGGTGTTTTTCCAGTCTTAATTTTCTGCGTTGAAGACACATGCATAAAAAATGTAAAATATCAGTATAATAAACTAGTTTTGTATCACAACTAATTTACTCACAATCTCATTTCTTCTCCTCCCAAAGCTCTTTCTTCCACATAAGTGAGGCATGGTATTGTATCTTTAGTTCTTTGTATTCCGCTCTTGCATTTTCTGAAAGCTCATAAATTAAAAGACAATTACTTGCATTTGATATAGAGACATTCAACTACTTTTAAATATCCAACGAATAAACTATACTTTCCACTTTTCAGTGAACCTCATCTCAACGAAGTGACTCCATTGATATATAGGAATACCCTTGGGTAGATTCTGCAACGTTTCACTCTGACCATCTCGTTTGTGTTCATCCCAAAGACGTTTTTTGACATCTTTGCATCTGCTACCTAGTGCACTCATCACATATTCTTTTCTCATCATCGGATCATCAAACCAGAATTTGGACTGAAATGACAGAACATAAAAAGAGTCAACAAACCAAAACATTATCTTATAGAGCTGAATAGATGTTAGCTATTACCTGAATTAGAGACATTCAACTACTTTTAAATATCCAACAAATAAACTATACTTTCCACATTTCAGTGAACCTCATCTCAACGAAGTGACTCCATTGATATATAGGAATACCCTTGGGTAGATTCTGCAACGTTTCACTCTGACCATCTCGTTTGTGTTCATCCCAAAAGACGTTTTTTGACATCCTTGCATCTGCTACCTAGTGCACTCATCACATATTCTTTTCTCATCATCGGTTCATCAAACCAGAATTTGGACTGAAATGACAGAACATAAAAAGAGTCAACAAACCAAAACATTATCTTATATAGCTGAATAGATGTTAGCTATTACCTGAATTACATCCCATGCCGTTTTTTGTGTAATTAGGAACCACCCTCCAATCGCTGTAGTTAATGAGTAGCAAATTCACATCATTGCTTAATTGACCTAACCAAGATCCAAGTAAACCTCCAGAATCTCCAATTGGCTGACCGCTATCTCCGTCGAACTGCACTATCACTTTGGTAGTTTCCAATTTCCAGACATCTTTAGATGTCATCATTTTGCTTTCTACGTTTCCATCAGTGTCTTGTTGAAGAACACCTACATTAGTAGAAATTTAAATTAGTATACAATAAATCGAGTCAACATTCATACACATTGGTTTATTTATATTACCTATGATTTGTATTTTCCATTTGAAACTTTTACATTCAGGAGCAAGTGCAAGAGGCGTATTGTAATCTGCTTACAGATGTGGGAAATCTTATGGTGATTGTCTCTGAATCAACAAAATCCATGATTCTAAACAGGGTAAACAGGTAAGAAAAATTGGTTATATAGACAATACTGAAGTCAATTGTGCATCCAGTCGTTGATTTGTCAAACATATAACTCATAGTTTACGTAAATATAGACAAAGTTGGAGAACAAAATTAAACAGAGTGGAAAAACTAATCAAAGCCAAATGTAAGATGAAATTATTATCTTTGTTCACAAAATACAACATTTAAGAGTCAATAATAGAAAAAGAAAATATACTATATAAATTCTTTCGAGTAACACATTTTCCTCTCTCTAAACACAAGAAAGAGAAACGGATCACTATATTATTACTACAGCTTTCTATTAAAGTACACGTCATGACCTTTAAGATTCATCAGTCAAACATTCAAGGATAGATCATTATTTAGCTAGCGTATAAATGCAATATTTATAAATGTTCAATATGCAAAATCAAATTTCCGAGATTCTCGAAACCAATAAAATTCAAAAGCAAAATCACCATAGCTTAAATCAGTAGGTCAATAATTAAAGAACATAATACAAATCATATCGATAAATCTGAGAATTAACTCGCTTTACCCGATCGTATGGGATTGATGAATTATGGTTGATCTGTAGCTGTTTTTCCCAAAGAGAAATGTTTTAAAATCCTAAATAAATCCAATAATTCAGTAGTGGTCAATATTTATATGAATTTTATTTCAGATTTAGATAAAATAAAATACCGCCTGTGGCAAAAAAAATTAGCGGGAACTGACAAAAATCATTGAAGATTTGTTATTTTTTCACCAACAATATACTCTATATATTCGGTTGCTTTAAGCAGTTTTATATTTTGGCTATAAATTTTACTCAATATAAACTTAATTAATTAGAAGGATCAATCAAACTTACATCTTTATGCTCAAATCACGATCTTTCTCCATACTTGCCAATTGAATCAAGCAAAAGTAACCGTAAAACTTAAAATAGAAGAAAAGATTCAGAACACGCGCGGAATAGCTCAAGAACTCTCTCTCTCTCTCTCAGATCTTTCTCTCTTTTCTAATTCCAGAATCGGAATCGCTCAAGAACTCTCTCTCTCTCAGATCTTTCTCTATATTCTAATTCTAGAATCTTCTATTACACTTTAATCTCTCGATCCCCTCCTTCTCGATCTCTCTATTACATTTGAGGACATAATATTAACATATTTAATATGGGCTAGCTGACCCAAAAAACAAATAGGCCTTTTTGAGAAAATTAATTACTTATATTGTCCATCCAACATCGACGACGAGCAATAATATTTAATTACTGAGATCAAATTCAGTCTTCAAATAAACAGAAGACCAAACTCTGTCTGCTCTATAATTAGCATCAATAAAATGAGATAAAGAAGTTTAGAAACATCTTAAGGTTGATTTCGTTGACTAAACATGTTTAGTGGGAACTATAGCCGCATAAGAAAAGTTAGAGACATGAGGTAAGCTCCAAGGGAGATATAGCCACGCTAAGAGTGTTTTCGAAACTGCTTTGGAGTGTGGGTATGGAAACACGGTCTACGCCTTCTCTGCTCTGATCGGCGCTTATGGTAGAAGTGGTCTCCATGAGGAAGCCATTAGTGTCTTCAACTCCATGAAATGCTATAGCTTGAAGCCTAATTTGGTTACCTACAATGCTGTGATTGACGCATGCGGTAAAGGAGGAATGGAGTTTAAGCGAGTAGCCGAGTTTTTCGATGAGATGCAGAGGAACGGTGTGCAGCCTGGCAGAACGTTTTCGCTGAGATGAAACGGGAGTATGTTCGGCCCAATTTACTGACTTATTCTACCTTGATGCATGTGTACTGGAAAGGGGATTTGTACAAAGAGGGAATAGAGATATTTAGGGAGTTTAAGAGCGTCGGTTTAAGAGCTGATGTTGTGTTGTACAGCGCATTGATTGATGCTTTGTGCAAGGGAGATATAGCCACACATTGTTAAAATCAGTTGCTAGCAGTACAAGCAGAGTTTTCCAGAGCCAGCAGAAACAATGGCATTAGGCTGCAGAACATTATACCTCTGAGACACATCATTACAGCAATAAAACCATTCATCCTTATGCTCCCAAATCCAATATCTAATTCCAGTCTTCAAAATGCAAGTGACTAAAACAAAAAAAAATGAGCTAGTACCAACCTTCCATATCCCCATCAGAAATAGCATCAAAAAGTTTGAAAGAACGACATTGAAGTAATTTGAAACCATCGTCGCAAAAAAGTACTTGAAAATAGCTAACAAAATCCACAAGGTTTGGTTTAGCAAAAGGGATACGTATTAGAAATTACCAACAACAAAAATTCATAAATATGGACTCTTCACCAAAGCAATCGCCACAGAATGTATACGGTATACCTGTTAAAATGAAAACAAATGACATTAAAACCCAATTAGAAAAGGGGTTGATCGATGAGAAAGTAAAACACAATTAGAAAAGGGGAAATTCAACAGAACTGAGAAGTAGATGTATCCAGAAAAATCAATAGAACGCAGAAGTAATTGTATTCAAAACTAAATTCCAAATTTGCAATCATGAAATCCAGTTACAAGTACGAAACAAGAATCGAAACATAACAATGAAAAAACAGCTCATCGCCTAACTTACAAAATCCAAACTTTTCAAACTCTTAAGGATTAAGAAACTCACTTCGAGAGTCTGACACAACCTGTTGGCCTGTCACGCAGATTCACGATCAGCATCACCCATATTATATACGTCTCTAGGCTGAAAATGAACTGCAATATTCCAATCTACCTCGCTGGGATCTTTTATATAATATACCATTCTTGCTTCAGACGCCAATATATACGGCTCATCTTCCACATTCTCTCTTGAGGATAACAATCGTGAAAAATTTACGATATGATGACCATATGCATCCATTTTGTATCCTCTTTCTGTACGAGTGTCAGCCCACTTGCACTTGAATAATACAACTTTGAAAACCTCATAATAATTTAACACTATAACCTCAACCAGATGTCCATAGTACGCTACAGTTCCTGTTATTGGATTAGAATCACGAGAACTATCATAACTCATAGTCTCTGCAGCTACATAAACACCACTATTTTAAGTTTTCAGGTCAGCATCTCTTTCCATTGTTCGGAATTTGAAACCATTGACATTGTAAGTTGTATACTTGACAGCCTTTTCAGATGGACCCAAAGCTAAGCATCGCAAATCATCAGTTATCCCATCTAACTCATTTGTATCTACTTTCTGTTTGATCCATTTTGCAAAACTTAGATGCATTTCTCGGTCAATGTCGTTAGCACGATTCCTCTTGCTCTGATGAGATGGTTTTCTCCACAGCTCATTTTTATACATCCTAAACAAAAAATAATTAACAGAACTTATATATTAGATAATTTCAATCAAACATAGTTAAAATGAGTTTTCTTGAACGAGAGAAACTTACTCTCGTAAGTGATCAAGTAGTTGACAATTGATCAATACATGTTGATGCGCTTGCTGCCTCTCTATATGGTTAAGAGTGTAAACATGACCAGCTCCAACAAATCTTCCAAGGTTTTGAAAAATAAGTGGAAGTTCTGAACTTGGTCTTATACTAGTTTGAGCTACAGGTCGATCATCAACACGGCCAATCCGAGTAAATCGTCTCTCTATATCATTGAGATACATTGAGCAAAATGTTACACACTCATCAGCTAAATATTGCTCACATATAGAACCTTCAAGCTTAGCACGATTCAGAACAAAGGATTTGAAGTGTCCTAGAGTCCTGTAACCGCACACAAGAAATCTCTTTGAGAGTTAGAGCATTGGTTATTTCACTACCTTTGGATGTCACTTGTGAAAAGTGTTACAGCCTGTAAAGAGAAGGATATATGATCATTGCAGAGAAGTGAACAAAGAATGGTTCATGAGTTTTTTCATTGAAGTGTTTATAAACTCATTGGTTGAATAATGTTTCCACCTGTTGAACAATGTTGCTCCTCTTTTTATATCCAAAGTTTGCCCAAGAGATTCTACACATCACAATTATCCCCCAAACAAGAAATAACCATAAAAGCAAGAAACATTCTTGTATGAGACAACAAAATCAGACAAATAGTTCTTGAAATCCTCTGAATTTGAAAGCTTGGGTCAGAGGAGAATAAGGTTACCTGTAGGGTAACAGATCGGTGACGCCTCGAGTAGAACCGTCGTGAGCGGCAGAGTTAACTTCTTGATCAGAATTTCAAAATCTTTGTGCTTTACAGAAACTGCAAATTTCCGTTCTCTTTCTCTTGTATAGCCCTTTTGAACAAGTACATATGTGTATATAATCTCATCGCCATTTATTAAAACTGTATATATTGAAATGTACAGAGTATAGAGAGAACCTTGTCGGAAGAGCAAATTAGTTTGCAGCTGCGAGCAGATGAAGAAGAGAGAAGACTCAATATCTTAATGGATCTCATCTTTAATTTAGTATTAATTAAATTATTAGTATAAGTTTTATTAGCATCAGTTTCTATTGATGTTAATGTTGGGTCATTTTTAGAAGAGATGTTAACAAAATTTAATAAGTGCATCGATTATTTATATGATGTAAAATTCTATTTTAGTATCAATTTTATTAAAGTGATTCAAGCCAATAGAATTTGCATCACTTTTATTGAATTGATAATAAACTAGTTAATTAAAACATCAATTATTATAACTGATGTTAAATCATATAGATTTGTTTCATTAATCAATAAGTAACTTAAAATAGAATCACTTAGTAAAGTGATACAATTTAAATGG